GTACAGTCGACCCCCCTATAACGTACGTTCCTATAACGACAATTCCTATAACGTAGCGAAAAAATTGTAGCAACTTTCGTATAACGTACCTCCTATAACGTCGTTTCGCGAGAAGATTGATAGAGTCTGGACCAATAGTGGATGAGCAGCCGAACTACTTTCCTCCGACCCTGCGCCACGCTACTGTGAGACCCGAAAGGCCCTGGGTCACATTTAATAATTTTTATTGATAATATTATATTATCGACACAAAATATTACTTCATTTTTTGTGAAAAACTAGTGTTTTGGACGTGGGAAAAACCAGATAACAGATGCTACTTCCTTTCACAGAAGAGAACATCCTCTGACTTTCCCTTATCTGGTTAAAAATCTCACTCAGATGGGAAATGGTTACCCCCATTCTTCCCCCTTTTGTCTGTTCTCACGAAAGAGTTACTGGCCGATGATTGGTCGGAATTCAGGAGATATAAGGGGAATTTAGGCCGAATTCGGGGAGTTCAGCGACGGAGTTCTTCGACAGATCCGAAGCGTCTGAACTTCACGCAGTTCTCCTCCTGATGACCAACGCCCTTAACGGAGTCCCATAGACTAAGTTCCGAGTCTGAACTTAGTGAAGATACTTTTATATTTTGTGCACGTATTGATCTCCCGTACGAAGAAGTGAATGAACTCTATCTACAAGGAGTCCCTTACCTACAGAAATGAAGACAAACGTCGACAACGAAACAGGTCGTATGTTTGGAATGATTTTGTGAGCTCTCTCTCTCGATCGCGCATTAGCATAGAATAGGTCTTAGCCTATAGCTTGTTGCTTAATTGTCGTTCATCGATTATTTGTATTCGTTTTGTTTTAGAATTATTAAATTTACTCTTGTTAAATATACTTAAATGTCTCTTCAATTGGTTCCGAATAAGATCTCATACGCGTGTTTGTCCGCACAACGAGAAAATTGACAAACTGGTGTCGGGAACCTGACGAGCATCTGAACTTCGCCGTTCAGATGCTCGTCAATTTTGATACAGCGCCTTCCTATAAAAAGTTTAGAGAGCCGATCACACGATCGTGCGCCAGTAAGTGATATAGGTAAATTCCTTATACCCTTGGCTACTCTCACACTACGGAGCAGCTAAATTGAGTTTGCTATCGTCTGTTTAGTATTATAAATAAATTATATATAAATTAGGTACTGTACATATAATTATATATTAATTTATTGTAACTTTATTATAATTATAGGCCTATATATACTTTCCGCCGTCCAGCGCCACGCTACGGAGAGTTTAGGCGAGTAAGTTGAGTTTACTATCGTCAGTACAGTATGTAAATTAGGTACCGTAAGTCTAATACAGCACTAATTTTATACATTTCTTGTGAAAGAAATATTTCTTATTCAACAGCCATAAAAATTATTTATATTCTATTAATGATGTCTCCAAAGTTCAACGAAGTTTTCGCAGAAAAATAACTTATCAGAAAACGCGGCCATTTGGTGCGCTGCTTCGCGACGAAAACAAGCTTAAGCAATGGCGACGTCGAACGGTGCACACTCGGTAAGTAATCCTACAATTTTTTGTTTATAGCATA